CTCTACCGCTGAACCACAGCCACAGCCCTGTCCAGAGAATTCTTAAAAGCAAAGGAACCAAAGCTACAGAACACTTTACTGAGCATATTGTATGATTCACGGTTGAGTTATGACCTGAGTTTTCCAGTCTCTTTTTAAAATACCACATTCTCTAAAGGGCAAGAGCAACACACCCAAAAACAGAGGCATACCATTTTTTTTTTTTTTTGCCTTGTCTTTACTGGCAGTTGTTAAAAGTTCCTGATTCACAAAGCCAAAGAAAACATATCATATGCAAGGATAAGTATACTAAGCCCTCTCCCAACTTTAGAACTGGTGCTAGGGCAACGGGTGGGGCAATATATTCCACTGGCTTAAGGCAATGAATGTGATAGTAGATACATATATAAGGTTGTTTCTGTGAAATACTAGTAAAAACCCAATAGCCAAAATAATGGGAAAATTTTATATTCTAATTAACTAAAGGGCTAAGAAGGTTTTTTTGGCCAATTCTTCTGTTGTAGAAAACCTTTGTGCCCTAGGGGAAGGAAAAATGGAAGGAAAAGAGTATTAAACGGACCAAATTACACTATTATAGTGTATGCATATCTGAATATGTAACAACAAATCTGTTATGTATAGTTATAAAGCACCAATAAAAAAACTTTGTGCCTTAGTATAGAATGCTGAAGATAACCAGATTTTCTTTTCTTTTTTTTTTTTTTTGGGGGGGGGGGGGGGCGGGCACTCGACTACTGAGCCACATACCAAGCCCTATTTTGTACTTTATTTAGAGACAGGGTCTCACTGAGTTGCTTAGTGCCTTGCTTTTGCTCAGATCAGCTTTGAACTCATGATCCTCCTGCCTCAGCCTCCCAAGTCATTGGGATTATAGGCATGTAGCACCACACCTGGCCCAGATTTTTTTTGGTGGTGCTGGAGATCAAACCCAAGGCCTAGTGAATACAAGGCAAGCACTCTACCAACTGAGCTATATCCCCACCCCAGATTTTCTTTTGATTAAGAATCTATATGAAAAATTGTAGTGTATCTGTGTATTAAGAATTGTAATGCAAAAAAAAAGTACATGTATAATGGCATAAATTGACGTGAACATACTTTATATACAGACATACGAAAAATTGTGCTCTATATGCGTAATAAGGATTGTAATGCATTCTGTTGTCATGTATTTTAAAAATAATAATAAAATTAATTAAAAAAAAGAATCTCTAAAAGGGCTGTGGTTTTGGCTCAGTGGTACAGTGCTCACCTAGCATGTGTGAAGCACTGGGTTCGGTCCTCAACACCACATAAAAATAAATAAAATAAAATAAATGTGTCCATATACAACTAAAAGGATTTTTTTTTAAAAAAAGAATTCTAAGTTGTTTGTTTTTTTTTTTTTTTTTTTTTTTTTTTTTGAGACAAGGTCTGGCTAAATTGCCCAGGCTGGCCTTAAACTTGTAATCTTCCTGCCTCAATGTCCCTCGTAGTTGGAATTGCAAGCATTTACCATCGTCCTGCCCAAGGAATTCTGTAGTGCTTCAAGGATTTATGAAGATCAACTATGATTAAACATTATTGACATGGAGAATGCAGGAATAGGGCTAAATCTAAAAATGATGGCAGAAGCTGGGTGAGATGATGCTGAGGACACTGAGGCAAGAGGATCACATCAATTCAGAATTTCATGGCCAGCCTGGGCAACATGGAAAGACTCCTGTCTGAGGATTGCAGGTTCAAAGCCGGTCTCAGCAATTGCAAGGCACTAAGCAACTCAGTGACACCCTATCTCTAAATAAAATACAAGAGGGCTGGGGATGTGGCTCAGTGGTTGAGTGCCCATGAGTTCAATCCCTAGTACCCCCCCAAAAAATAAGAAAGACTCCTGTCTCAAAATATTAAAAATAAATAAATAAATAGGCTAACAGGCTATACCACAGGTGGAGAAAAAACATTTCAACAGAATAAATTCAAAAGTAATTTTGTCTCTTTCCTAAACATAGGAACAGCACCAAAATCAATCTAGTTACCCAAAGGTTTTAATTAGCAATGTTCCAGTTAACAAGGCTTTCTTAATTAATTGACAGTACTTAGTTGGCTCATATTTATCATTTTAGGGCATAAATATGCTTACTCCACTGCTCTGTTTAACAGCCTACTATACCAGTAATGACAATCTTTTTTTTTTTTTTTTAGAGAGAGAGAGAGAGAGACACTTCTTAATATTTATTTTTTAGTTTTCAGCGGACACAACATCTTTGTTTGTATGTAGTGCTGAGGATCGAACCCGGACCGCACACATGCCAGGCGAGTATGCTACCGCTTGAGCCACATCCCCAGCCCAACAATTTTTTAATTCATAATATACTTCAGCTGTCAAATACATCTAACGATGTTCTAACAATCAAAATGCACGCAAGTAGGGGCTGGGGTTGTGGCTCAGTGGCAGAGTGCTTGTGAGGCACTGGGTTCGATCCTCAGCACCACATACAAATAAGTACATTTAATAAAGATATTTTTTAAAAATGCATGCAAGTAAAAAGCATTTTTTAGAAATTTGCACAGAAAACAACTTTTCAAAATACATATTGACAATTAATAAACTCTGTTTTCTAAAAAAAATAACGAAATAATTCAAATGTAAGTAACCACCTATAGGAAAACTTGATTAAACACGACTATGCAACTGGCACAGTAGCATACATCTGCAATCCAAGCAACTTGGGAGACTGAGGTGGGACAATATCAAGTTCAAAGCAACCTCAGCAACTTAAGAGACACTCAAAATAAAAAAGAGCTGGGAATGTAGCTCAATGGTTAAGTGCCCCTGAGTTCAATCCCAGTACCAAAAAATAAAAATAAAGTACTATGCAAAATAGAATTACTGGAGAAATTTTAACTGTTGCCTGGTCCCTGAATGAATTAAATCAGAATTTATGAGTGGTACTCAAGAATTGGAAGATTTTGTTTTTGATTGTTTGTTTGTTTTAAGCCCCTGGATAATTCTAGTATACAGAAGGGCTGTAAGGCAACTCAAAGATTTTTTTAAATAAAAGATTTCTAAGGGGAGGGGTGGGGTTGTGGGGATGGGAAGAACAGTAGAAAGTGACAGACATTATTATCCTATATACATGTATGATTACACCCTGGAATGACTCTGAACCATGTACAGCCAAAGGAATGAGAAGTTTTGCTCCATTTGTGTACAATATGTCAAAATGTATTGTACTGTAAAATAAATAAATTGATTTTTAAAAATGAAAAATAAAGAGATTTCTCTCACTTTTCCTCTTGGTGTTTAGATAATATGCTCCAAGAATATCAAAGACAACTCAGAAAAATGTTTTAAAATTCAGGCAAACTTTAAATTCAGTTGTGTTACTTGAACACTTTCTCAATACAGAATACAAGGTCATAAAGAACTTTAACAGGCATGCCAATCATTATAGGTCAGTTCTAAACCAGCTCTCAAACAAGTTCACACACAACTAGGGTTGCCTAGGGTAGTCTATAAAAATCTGAAAAAAGAATGTGTGACTAGACTGTTCATATGTTGGGGAACTGGGGAAGTGCAGAGAACTTCATATTTCTTGTTCACCCAATTCTCTATTATTTCATTTTAAATAATTAGTGAGTATAACTTTTTCCCTATGATTGGCATCTAAAATAGAAGGGGAGGGGAAAAAAAGAACTTAAATGTTTAAACTATTTAAAATTTATTTTTGCTTTAAGCCTAGTTTAAGCCCTAGGGGCTAGAGTAGGCTTGCCTCACATAGGCAAAACCCTGGGTTCCTAGTACAGCAAAAGAAAATAAATAAGCCTTATTTTCTGAAAACTAAGAAACATGCTAGTACACAACATCACATCTACCCTCTATTATTTTTCTTAATTTTATGAAAATTACATGAGATAAACCATAGCTAATAAGATAAAGTGCTGGCCCAGCATAATACTTTGTTATGCATAGAGCCCCTCCAACCAAATATTTCCTTTGCTGGTGTTAAAACCACACGAATTCCCAGTATGTATCTTACAATGCTAAATTCTTGACACATATTAGAACACCATAGATTCTACTTCTTAAATCTGCTTCTTAATTCTAAAATTAGCCAAAATGGGGAATCGCACCGTTTTAGTCCCTTTCTCGTTGCCTTTCACAAAACATTCCACTTCCTATTCAAATTTGAGGAATGGAACTTATTAAAAGATGCTTCATTGTTCTTGACGCTTTTGCCTTTAGATTTCGCAACTGAAACTTCTGGCGATTTCAGGAGCACGCACATTAAACAGGAGCAAAGCCAGGTATGATGACAGGCGAAACTGCAGTCCTGAGTCTGGGCTGACACCCTATTTGGTTTTAATTCCGTCGCCGAGTTCTGCGTCTTCGGGAAGCACAAGGACAGCGCACGGTACCCAACGTACTCAAAGAACTTACTGAGTCAATTTAGGCCCTTTCTTTTATCTCCTTTACGGCGATAAGAGGGTTGAAAACCAACTTTTCCCAATACTTGTCAGTGCCTCAAGGTCGTTAGGATAAAAACAAAACGTCCAATTCTAAGGACACTTGGCAGCCCTCCGCTTTAAGAAACCCCGAACCCTCCCGGCCCGTTAACCGGGCCAGAGCCTCTCGGCCCCGGAGTCCCGGCCCGGGAGCCTGCAGGCGCCCAGGCACCGAGCGGGTAGCCGCCCCGAGCGCGCGGCCCAGCGCAGCGCAGGGCTCGGCAGGCCGGAGCCTACGGACGCCGCCCTGGGACCCCCGGAATCGGCAGGCCGCCGCGCCCGCGCCGAGGGGCAGCAGACGACCCGCGCCACGGCGGCCGCTCCTAGGACAAGGCTGAGGAAGGCGCCGCCCCACGGGCCACGCAAGGAGCCCCGGGCGCCAAACGCGCGAAGCGTAGGGACGACGGCAGGCGCGAGGTCGCAGCCCCGGGACTAGAAGGCAGTCTCCTCCGAGCCTTAGGAGGGAGGGCGGCGGGGTGACCACAGGGCGGGTCGGGGGCAAGTGGCGGCCTCACCTGCTCCTCTCGAGGCAGCCGCTACCGCTCGCTGAGGGGACAACATGGAGCCTCAGCCTTCAGCAGAAAATCAGCGGGGGGGGCAGAGGCGAGGAGCGGGGAGGGGCGGGCTGGGGCCGCTCGAACCAGGCCCGGTAGGCGGGATACGGGCGGGGCCTGGGCTCTAGAAGAAAACTGAGGTGAAGGAGGGGCGCGTGGAAGCGCGAGGAAGCCAACACAGAGCGTGTGGGCGATGCCCGACGCGCGGCCGGAGGCGTGGCGAGCCCGGGCGGGAAAGCGCACGCGGCCGAATCCCGCCACCTCCCGGCTCGTGTGCGCGTGCGCGGGGACGCGGAGCGCGCCGCCGACTACCTGCGACTGCGTGCTCGAAGCTTCGGTCGGTTGGAAATTGTGGTCCCGCGCTCTCTGGGTCCGGCCCGCGGTCCCCATTCTGCTCACTCATCCGGGGCCAAGAGGAAGCCGAGGAGAGAGGCGGGGCGACTGAACTACAATTCCCAGCAGGCCTTGCGGGGAGGCCGGTGACGCTTGCGATCCCCGCTGGGAGACCAGACCCTGGGCGGCGGCCTTGAGGGTCACGCCTCGGGCCCTGGGATAGTTTGGGGGTTTAACACTGGCGGGGCCCCCAGATGCACCGCAGAAGAGAAGCCTCAACGCCATGTGACGTGAACGTCGTTGAGTTTTTAATGATTTTGACTTCACAAGGAGAGGAAGCCATGACTTAATTACCACCATTATCATCGCCACCCTCTCTTCTAGTCGCCAGAGTTTGATGTGCACCGTCACCGCCCTAACGTCTGTCTGCCACCGCCTTGTCCAGCTTACAGGATCCTGGGTAGAAGCTGCCTTTCCAAGCACACTTAAACTGTATAGTAGATAGTACAATACGAGGTTCTCCGAAATTGCTTTTTTTTTTTAATTTTTTAGTTGTAGATGAACACACAGTATCTTTCTTTATTCTTATGTGGTGCTGAGGACCGAACCCAGTGCCTCACACAAGCGAGGCAAGCGCTTTACCACTGAGCTTCAGCCCCAGCCCCAGCCCCCAAAATGCTTTTTCAATATCTGACATCGTGATTGAAAAAAAACCGTTAGCCCCAATTGAAGAATAGTTTGGTTTGGCGGGGGGGGGGGGGGGGTTGTTTGTTTGTTTGTTTTTTTTTGTTTTTTGGGGGGGGGGGGGGGGGATAACTGATGGGGTTTATGAGAAACTAAGGTATTCACCCCCCCCCCCCCACGGCCACCAGTAATTGCACTGTCTTCCTTCTTCTGCTTCAGCTGTTATAATCTACCCAGGATCTCCTTCCACCTGCCTCTAGGCTCTGCCAAGCCTTTGAGCTGTTTTCTACTTCCTGAGTAATTAGGCCAGAGGTGAAGAGGTAAAGGTAATTCTACGTTATCCTATCTAAAGAAGTCCTGTTTTGACTTTTCCCCTACCCCTTCTAATTCTCCCCAAACTCTCAAGATTGTTGGAATGCCTTCTTCCAGGCTTTAGATTTAAATCTAGATTTTATCTAGTCCAACTTGGATCACCAAGAAAGTAGAAATGAACTTCAGAACAAGAATTACTAAGGTTTCACATGATGTTTGGAAATTTGAACCAACAGGATATTAACACAAATGCAGGGCAGTGTGTGTCATACTCAGAAAGGAAGGGCCAAAAGCCAGTGATTTGTCATAATTGCAACACTGTAAAAAGTTTAAATTGCACACACATCCCAGTATTCTCTATTCCCCTTACTTTGTCCATAAGACTTTTTATCATCTGACCTACATTTTACATTTCATTTTGTGCTTTCCACTATAATAGAAATTCCAATGCAGAGGAATTTTTATCTCTTTTGTTCTCTGGTATATCCCCAACCCCTCACACAGGTCTGGCAGAGAGTAGAGATTTAAGTCTTCATTGAAGAAGGTATATGTTACACCTAATGCTGCTCACTAACTTTCTGGCTCCTTTAATATTCAATACCTAATTTTCGCTATTGAACCAAAAAAAAAAAAAATGTTCTATTTTAAGGATTCTCAATAAAGATGCATTGAAGTCTAACCTGTCAGGAAGCAAGTAGCAAATGCAGGCATTATCTGTCTCAAGACAACATCATCAAGGTCAAATGTGAACACATCAACCTTCCTCATACCTTGTAGACACTACTAGAATTTGAAACAACACAGTATAAATTATAGGTGGAGTTTAGGATTAGTCACAGCATAGAAAGCAGCCCCTATACATGAGAAATGTATTTTGTTGTTTTAGTCTCAAATATCCAGGGTCATTAAAACAATGGGCTGAAATGCTGAATTTGATGATACTGATATACAGCCAGCCTTCAGCAATCTTACTCTGAATTGAGACACAGGGTATGAACAGAGGTTGAGCTTTCCTTCTGCATTTCTAGAAGTAGGTAACAGGTAGATATGTTTGAATAGTTAAGGCCACTGGCTTTGAATTTTGGCTTTGATGCTCACTAGCTGTACAAACTTGGGTGAGTTCCTTAACTTCTCTGAAACTTTCATCACCCACAAAATAATTCCAGTACCCACACAGTTGTAGGTTAAATGAAATATGTTTGACAATGATGACTAATGAATGTGTAGTTAGTACTTAAAAAGTGGTAGTCATCATATTCATTCTGGAAAAGCAAAAGCAAAGTCGTAAATACTCAAAATACTCAAGTATGTGAAGCACAAAAATAGTAAAATTGTTTTCTACAAAGATATCCACTGTGATTCAGGTTTCAAAACTTTACAAAAATAGGGCTTCGTTATGTTTCAGGCACTCTTCTAGGAAGTAATGATGCATAAGACACATTCTTGTCCTCCAGAAAATCACAGTCTTATGGGATAAACAGCCAAGTAAATATCACTCCTGTGACTATACTGTGACATAGTTCAGACTCCTAACATTTATTGCAGGAGCTATCGATTGATTGATTGATTTTTGGTACCAGGCATTGAACCCAGGGGTGCTTAACTGCTGAGCCACATCCCCAGTCATTTTTATTTTTTATTTGAGACAGGTTATCACTAATTTGCAGAGGCTGGCCTCAAATTTGCAATTCTACTGATTCAGCCTCCCAGATTTCTCGTATTGCAGGTGTGAGCCGCCAAGTTCAGCAAGGGTCAGTAGTTAAGAAATTTGGAAGGGACAGGTTGGAATGCTACATCCCGGGACATCGTTTAAATATCTGTCCCTGGGCTGAGGATGTAGCTCCTTGGTAAAGTGCATGATTAACATGTGCAAAGTCTTGAGTTCAATCCCCAGAATCACAAAAAGTAATCATAAACCAGGCACAGTGTTATACACCTATAGTCCCAGCTACTAAAGAGGTTAAGGCAGGAGACTCCCTTGAGCCCAGGAGTTTGGGGGCAGCCTGGACATTCTACTGAGACCCCATTCTCTTCTTATTTAAAAAAAATTATTTTTAATTGTTGTTGGACATAATACATTTATTTTATTTATTTTTATGTGGTGCTGAGGATGGAACCCAGGGCCTCACACATGCTAGGTCAGTGCTCTACCACTGAGCCACAACCCCAGCCCAAGACCCCATTTCTTATAAAAGTGAAATTTTAAAGTTGAATATTATGGGCTGAGGCTGCAGCTCAATGGTAGAATGCTCGCCCAGCATGTGTGAGGCACTGGGTTCAATCTTCAGTACCACATTAAAAAAAAAAAACCAGTAAAATAAGGGTGACATGTCCATCTAGAACTAAAAACAACTTTTAAAAACATTGAATATGGGGCTGAGGTTGTGGCTTAGTGGTAGAGCACTCATCTAGCACATGTGAGACACTGGGTTCAATCCTCAGCACCACATAAAAATAAAATAAAGGCATTGTCTCCAACTACTGTCCACCTACTACTAAAAAAAAATTTTAAAAAACGTTGAATATTAGGATGTAAATATGGTAACATTGTAAAAGCTTAAGACCTTTTCAGCGGCTTCATTATTAGTATTTCAGTCAACAACACAGCTGTCTGACTCTTCATGAAGATGGCTGAAAGAACCGGGTGCGGTGTCACTCATCTGTAATCCCAGCAGCTCAGGAGGCTGAAGCAGTAGGATCACAAGTTCAAAGCCAGCCTAAGGAACTTATCGAAGCCCTAAGCAATTTAGTGAGACCTTGTCTCTAAATAAAATATAAAAAGAGGGCTGGTGATGTGACTCAGTGGTTAAGCACCCCTGAGTTCCCTAGTACAACAATTAAAAAAAAAAAAAAAAAAACTAAAAGATCACTAGAAGGAAATAAAGGAATGTACACAACAATGTGTGTATCATGCTATCCTTTATGATAGAGTAGATGAGGATACATATTTGCTATATTCACCTTTGCTTGAGTTTGCCACTGGAATATTCTAACAGTGATTATATGTGTGTAGAATGGAGAAGATTAGAGATAAAAGAAAACTTTACAGTTATGTACCACATGATGAAATTTTGGCCAATGACAGACTGCATATACCACAATGATCCCATAATGAAGCTGAAAAATCCCTATTAGCCAGTGATATTGGTAGCCTTCCTAACATTTTGGGGCAATGCACTACTCATGGAGATACTGATGTAAAGAAACCTACTGGCTGTCAATCATATAAAAGCAGAGTACATACAAGTACATGCAGTACATAATACTGGATAATGACAATAAACAATTATGTGGCTGGTTTACATATTTACTATACTGTATTTTATCAGTATTATACCATGCATTCCTACTACTTATGAAGCAAAAAATTTACTATAAAACAATATGCCTTGTTATACCTGCAGCACCTTCACACATCTTGTGTTTACCACATTTTGATTGCATCAAGGGGCCACAGGGAATATACCATGTAGGTTTATGACAGTGTACTCTGTGATGTTTCCACAGGATGGCTGAGAATGAAATTGATTAATGATGCAGTTCTCAGAAGGTATCCCTGTCTAAGAAATCATGACTGAGCATACATCTGAGCAGGCTGGTAATCCCAGGGAGGCTGAGGTAGGAGCATCACAAATTCAAGACCAACCTCAGCAACTTAGAAAGACCCTTTCTCAGAATTAAAAAAATAATTTTTTTTTAAAGAAGCCAAGTGCACTGCTGCATACCTAT